ATGGAACTGGTTGGTTTTTCTGAGACACGTGGTTAGCGGTCCTAACAATTATGGAGATGGTGCGTTTGCTGTTGGTGGAGGTGGCGATGATGTTGTTGCGATTCCTGAATCTTCAAGTTATGAAGATGGTGCGTTTGCTATTGCTGAAGAAGCTACCATTGGGCCTCTAGATGCCTCATCCAATACTGCACTTTCTATCGATTTAAGTGATTGTGCTAATTAATGCTTCCACTAGCACAAGAAAGAATTTTCAACAAACGTTTTTGGGCGGTGGCTGGAAATGTTTACCTGGCTGGAAAGTAGGAGTGGCAAAAGCTTTTGTAAGTTTTGTAAAAATTTTAATCGAACAATATTACTAATTTAGAAAGACACGGTAAAGGGGAAGGCCATACAAAGTGTGAAGCTGCACTTAAAAATCAGCCAAAGCTAGATAATATTAAGCACTTAACGGCATATCAGACAAAAATTAATAATATTAAAACAGCCGAATTAAAAATAATAATTTTTTTGTGTCAACATAATTAACCTTCTCCAATGGTTCAACCATTAATTGAGCTTATTAAAAATGTAGGTAGGGAGTTCCATAGTTTTTTTACAACACTGACAAAAAACATTCTAGAAGAAACAAGATAATTATGTTTTGGTAAAATCAGATTACAAGTTCTAGTTGATTGTGCAAATGTTAATTTTTCAAAAAGGTATTTGGGGTTTTTCAAATTGATGAGCTTATGCAAAAATTTAAGGTTGCGGTAATTCAAAAAACCAGTCAGATTACAATTAAGTATCTTACAACTAAAATGTGATATGTGGTCGAACTTACGCTTAGCAAATACGTATCTGGCACAACTATTTAACGCCATTTGAAGTTTTCGCTCCGATGCACTATCCAGTTGTCCACAGATGAGCTCACCATATGAAATAAGTGGCACTATAAGTGTTCTCACCAAACGTAGTTTTATGTCCTGAGTAACAAATTCAGCTGTGTACCATAGTTTTCTCAGAACAAAATAAATCCTACTTATGGTGTGGTTTATATGATCCGAACACCCCAAATAGGAATTTATTTTGAAATCAAGACTAGTAACAACTGGTCCAAAAATGATTGGTGTGTCCTCTAGAGTTAATGTTGGGAGAAGATCTTCAGTATTCGAACAGTGTGAAATACATATGGCTTTGGTTTTCGTTGCATTTAAGCGTAAATTATTAAACGTGGCCCAGATGGAAATAGAAAGGAGATCTTCATTTATTCTGACTATTAAGTCCTCAGAGAGACCAATTGGACGAGAAAGGTAAATTTGAGCCTCATCCCCATACAACTGTATTGACACGCTTTTACAGCAGTGAACGATATCATTAATGAACATGCTGAACAAAATTGGGCCTAGTATGGATCTTTGTGGTACCCCCGAGTGCAGTCCTCTTAGCTCAGAACACACATTTTTTACAACAGCCTTTTGCCTACGATTACCAAGGTAGTTTTCGAGTTATTTTACCGCACTATCAGAAAATCCAAAATATATGTTTAGTTTAAGTAAGATATTTTCTATGATCAACTTTGTCAAAAGCCTTGGAAATGTCTAATAGGGTTAAAACAGTTAAATCACTCATCAAACATAGGTCTAATATCTTCCATTACCTTTAGCATAGCTGTAGCACAGCTGTGACCCTTTCTGTAACCAGACTGTTTCGGCGTAAGAAGTTTATTTCTATCAAGATGCATAACTATTTGCATGACCATCGGCCTTTCCAAGACTTTTGATAACGAAGAAAGTATACTTATCGGCCGGAAATTCGATGGAGAAACACCCGAATGACTTTTAGGAATTGGAGTAACCTTGGCTATCTTCCAGGCATCCGGAAATGTCGATGAGGTAACGGAGAAGTTCAAAATGTGTGTCAGTGCAGGAAGTTCGTTTGGGAGAATAATTTTTAAAAACTTTAAGCTTACACTGTCCTCACCAATAGCATTCGATTTTATTGAGAAAATACCTTTTAAAACGTCATACTCAGTCACAGTCGAGAAACTGAAAGGTTTATTTGTTTTAAATAAAAGGTTTTTGTCTAGTTTGAACCCATTGCTATTTTGCAAAGTGTTCGACTGTAAGAAATAGTCATTCATGGTATTAACATCTAAATTACATTCAAAGTCGCCTTTACTTCCTATGCCCACAGACTTTAGGTTATTCCACAGTATTCCGATTTCGGGCTTTGCGATATGCTTCCCAGTTTTCACAAGTTGGTTTGCGTTTCCAACGAACGTAAAGCTTATTTCCGGTCCTAATAGTTAGTAGAACCTCTCTTATGAACCATGGTTGTTTTCTGTCAGAAGTTTTCACGACTCTTAAAGGAATATATTTATCAAAAAGATAATTTACCGTGGAGGTAAAAAAGTTTAGATTTTGGTTAATGTCAGGAAAAACCCAGCCCGTATTCCATTCAAGCATACCGGCCTCTTGCTTTAATGCTCTAATATCGGCTGATTTGAAATACCTATAATAAAAACGCAGATCAGTATCGTTATTGAACTGAAGGTTATAAGATGCAAAAATCATATCATGATCAGATATTCCCGCAAGCGAAAACTGATCACAGTGAACTAGATTAGAACAATCAGATACACAGGGTAAGTCCAGTAGACTTGCCTTACAGTTATGAGAAAAGCGTGTGGGAAATTTATTAATAACTTGTAAACCAACAGAAGCTAGCCAATCTACTAAATCGTTGGAACTGCTGTCGCTATTCAGAAGATCTATATTGAAGTCGCCACAAAGCAGAATGTGCTTTCGTTGCATAGAATTGCATATATGCAATGCAAACTTTTTATAGGTTTGGCAACCACGTCTCTCTTTAATTTACAGTTATTTTTTCTTAACCCTTTCCCTGCATTTGTACAATATATTGTACATTTAATTTTTTGTAACATTGGAAGCGTGCTACTAAAAATCTTATCAATATTTTTGAAAACAATTTAAACTTTATGAAGTTGTGGAATGTCCCGAATAGTTTACGTAAATTTCAAAATCGAAAACGTTTCAAAAATATTTTTAGCATTTAATTTAAAAATAGACCATTTTATGAAATTCCAGTGGCACGCAATTTGTGGTAATTTATTTTACAAAAAATACGTGAAAGTCAAGTAAAATCGCTAATAAAAGCACATAGTATGGAAATATAAGAAGCATTTCATCATATAAAAATGCTAAAATTAAACTATCATGATTTAAAATATTTTTTTCCGAGTGGTGAAAAAAATTTACAATATATTGTACATTTACACTGAAAGGTTGTAAGTGTTATGTTCAATATATTGTACAAACGTCCGCAATGGTTGCGGATGAACAGGCGATTCGGGTGGTTTTTGCCGTGGTTTGTGAAGAGCTTGTGCGCTTTTGTTGCAGTAAAGGGTAGGATTTTGATTTCTTGATCTACTGAAGGCAGAAAAACCGGGATGGTTTATTAATACGGGTCATTTGTCTTTTATATTGTAATTGTATCTGAAATTTTTCAAAATTTCTTTATATAATTCTCTTCTCATGGAGAAAATTTAAAATATTTTAATGCAAATCTTAACTAAAGATACTTAAAAAGATACTAAATATTCATTCCAACATATCTGCAGTGAAATCAATTATTTTGTACATACATAAGGTCATTCTCAATGAAATAAAAGTTTTATTCTGTAAAACTTAGTGAAATATCTATTGACTTTTCTTGAGTACTTTTACTCCTTTGAGGACTTTTGTACGATATATTGCACAAATTTCAGGTAGCCCTAATAGCTACCCAGTATTTATTTTTTTTACTTTTGGTATTATGAGGCTCTATGAACCTTGTAATTAAGAGGAAAAATTGTTATATTCATCAGGGACGGATTTGACCGGAAAGGGTTAAGGCGACTCTTTGAGGCTTTGTCATTTAATATTTGCCAATAGTTTGTGAAAATTCATCAACACGTGTACATATACGCCGGAAAGGTTAGGCAAATTTTAAGAGTGCGAATTTGTTTTAGTTATTTGTGTAAATTTTGTAAAGTTCTGTGAAATAACAATACAATGTGAGTACTTTTTAGAAAGTGTAGTGTATTTTCTTTGTAAGTCACATATCTTCCTGATAAAGCAAGCATTTATATAAGAGTACCAATGTATCATATCATACATGCAAAGTCATGCGTTTACGCTGATTACATATACGTTATTATATTGTACATCTGCAACATTATGCATTATTTTTACCCTTAGGGCCCTTACGGATAATAAGATTGCACGTATAATAGAAAGTTGGGACCAAAATGAAGATAAGTTTCTTGAAGACGATGATGACACAAATTTTGAAATCAATATATGCCGGTGCGAAAATAATGAAGAATTGACAGCGGAAGAAAGTTCTTGTGTGGCAGAAAACACTTTTGCAGAGAAAAATGCTAATACGAATACTCCAATTTGTACGCTTGTCAAAGAAATCCTGAAAAAGCGGAGCAGATTGATAAAGAGGATTTGTGAAAGTTTTTGGGAATATGCGTCAATATGTCTGTAGTTCAGATCCCAAACATTCGTAGATATTGGACACCCATTGCAGCAAACAAATTGATTCAAGAAACTATGTCTGTTAACAGATTTGAAAAAAATTAATTCAATATTGCATTTTAACAATAATGATGATATGAAACCAAAAGATGATCCACATTTTGACAGACTTTTTAAGCTTCGTCCAATTGTAAATCATTTGGTTAAAAAATTCAAATCAGTTCCACTTGAAAGCTGTCTCTCTGTAGTTGAACAACTATGTTCCACCAAATGCAAATCATATTTGAAACAGTGGGGAACAGAATTCCAAATTTGAGGCTTCCCGATGAAAAAGCTATGATAAAGAAATCACGAGGAGAGTCCTGCGAATTTGTTGCAACCGTGGAAAATTTTGATATATCTGTGGTTTCTTGGAGAGACAACAAAATTGTAAATTTGATGTCAAACTATTGTGGGAAGGCTCCTGAAAAGCAGTTGAAAGATTCGACAAAAAGTTGAACAGAAAAGTATCCGTTGCTTGTCGAAACATAGTTGCAGAGTATAATAAGTTTATGGGAGACGTAGATTTATTAGACTCATTTATTGGTCGATATATAATCAAAATACGGTGTAAAAAATGGTACTTGAGGCTCTTCATTCACTTGCTAGATACAGCCATTGTAAATTCTTGGTTATTATATAAGCGCGCTGAAGCCCAGAAAGGTAACCCCATAAAAGAAAATTCGGCAGATTTTCGCTTAAAAGTAGGAGAAACCCTGTGCAAAATGGGAGAAGTTTCGACACCAAGCGGTAGACTTTCGGAACTTATGAGAAATCTGGCTCTTAAGGTAGTGCATTTTTGAAGTCTCATATATAATTTTGAAACAAACGAATTTATTTATTTATGCAGAGAAATCACCAGCGAAGTTTACCTATTCCTGAAAATAAAGTGCGTTTGGACCATACGGATCATTGGCCAAAGTGGGTAGACAATCGCGTAACTCCCAAAATACCAGGTTGCCGAGGATATACCTTTGTAAAGTGCGAAAAATGTAACACAAGTGTTTGCTTTAACAAACCAAGAAATTGTTATAAAAAATTTCGTTTCGAATAAATATGAGAACGTTTTTTTTAAATTAAATCTTATGTTATCGCTACAAATTAATGTGATGTAATTAAAAAGAACAAATTATGTGAATGGATCACTACGTTGTTTTAAAAAAATTTTACCCAATAAAATACGAGTTAGTAAAAATTTAGCAAGGCATATTTAACTTTCAAATTAACTGCATGATATTGCGTATATGCAATGTAA